TCCTGTTTTCGGCACAAAATGATTGTGCTATCTGCACTCAATGACATCATCCAGTGGAAAGCCTAGAAATAAATTGCTTCAAATGGGCAGTCAGGAGCCTGAGACTTTGGTTTACAGACTTTTACGGTCGAAGAACTAATTATTTGATCCCCTGCTTAATTTACAAGCTGGATATATTTTGGCTTATATTGTGTCTCTCTCCATAAGATGAAACTACCAATAATTTCTTATAAATAACAATAAACTTAACAATAAACTTAACAATAAACTGCAGGGGATCAAATAATTTCTTCCTCTACTGTACATAATCTGACCTCATTGTTTCAAACTTTAACCATGATGAAAATAAATACCCACCACTTTAACAGTGTGTATATGACGTAAAATAAAGGAATGTATAAAATTAGTAATACATTTTTAAATCAGTTTTAAAAACCTACTTGTAGTACAGCTGTCATGAAAAAAATGATGGTTGTCTAACTGATATTTGCATTTGGTGACGTAATATAAAGTTATTGCATAAAAATTCTTACATTTAAGTACCAAGTCTTTATGAGACCCAGAGATTTTCATCTCTTCTCCATTTTCACCTCTGAAGTGTCCAGTCTATAGATAATTCTCTCTCTGCCACTCAGTCATAGACCAAAAGTATAAAACATAAAGTCACAAGCAACAGAACTGTGGCATGACAGTTGTGAAATTTTAAGTAACAAATAGAAGTGCCAACTCAAACCATTAAGTAGGTCAAGTGACAGAGGAAAAATCTCTTCCAGAAAATAATTATATATTTCACACTTAAAGCCATTCCAGAAGCTTTGTGTGTATTTTAAGACAGATCCCCACGATGAACTGCTTAACAAATTTGCTTGAGGGCCACCAAGGAGCTATCTATGCTGCTTTGAACTGCTGGCAGGTAATACATACTTCTGTCAATTAAACCTCAAACCTGGAATCCTAAGTATGTACTGAAAGTACAGCCACAGCCGTTTGCCTTCCCTCACGACTTTGTCCCCTGTCACATCTGCTGCAGTATGTGGTTTGACCAAGTAAATTACATTTGCACACTAAGCAACCTGATTTCTATAATGATGCACTTTGAAGTAAAGAAGGGCTTTTTGTACCCCTGTGTGTGTGTGTGTGTGTGTGTGTATGTGTGTGTGTTCATAACGGCGGGAGGGAGAGATGTTATTTTGCTTTTGTTATGTACCATCTTTTCATTTTTATTCATACCTTTTGAAGTAATAAAAATGTATTGTGAAAATATGCATCGTGCCAGTAAAGCCTACAGGCTAAGGTTTTTACCAAACTGTAAATAAAAGATGGATATAGGCATTGGTTCGTGAGCTCACACTCATCATAATATTTTACCATAATATTAGTAATATAAGGATTGTGACATATTTAGTTTTTTTCTTTTGTTTGTTGGGGTTTTTTGTAGCTATAAATACCCATATTTGGACAAGAATGTGGAGGTCTTAATTATTACAATCGTCTAATGTTAGCAAGCTTGGTTAGCAAAGTGCACTGCACAGATATAGATAATTTTAGGAATTAGCCAAATAGAAATCTCATTCAGGTTAAAAAGCTCTCTTTTTAGAGTTGCTTGGCTAACATGCCAAAACACAAAAGGGAACATTAAAACAAACACAGAAGAACAATTAAAACTCTTGTATGAGTGTGTGGGTGTGATCAGGCTTGTAGCAGAGAGTGCTTGAGTGCTCACTCAGAGTAGAAAATGTACTATAGATGTACCAGATAACTGCTAAGTCGTGCTGTAACCATAGGCAGTATAAAAGATGGACCACTGTAGTCATGAAATCCACCACTGGTTTTGCAGTTATTTTAAAGCTTCAATACTGATATTTTGGCCACTGACATTTTGGATTTTTGGAGTCCTACATGACCATTTTAGATGGAAGCATAAGGTGCTAGGTTACCCCTACCAAACTGCATCTACAAGCTACACTAGTACAATGCACACACACAAATATGTGATAACTAGTACCAAATAACAGACTCGTGAAATACTAGATTACTGAAGCACATGCTTTAGTATTAATAAA